TGCCTCGGTGGGCAAAGCTCCTATATCACAAGTGTGAGGACCCAAGTTCAGACCCCATCAGCCTCGTGAAAGCTGTGTGTCATAGAGCACACCTGCAATTCCAGCATCAGGGACGGGGAGAGATCTGAGGCCCACTGGCCCCCATCCTAGTCAGACTGGCAAGCCCTTACCACAGTGAACGACACTGTCACAAAGAAATGAAGTGGAGAGCCATCAAAGACATCAGACGTCAAACACTAATTTCCACACACGTGCTACACACGCACGTGCATGAGGGAGATTATCAGGCAGTGATGCCCAGAACAGTGGCTGCCACTCATACAGGAAGAACGCCATTCTAAACCATGTTCAAGTACCCTGTGCATCGAGTGGCCCCTGGGTCACCAGGCCCAAACGTGTGCTGAGGGCTGACTGAATACCAGAGACAAAGCAAGGACTGTAGCAATGAACACAGCCTGTGTTCTCTTGACCTCCAGAGAACGGACCACCAGGCCTGGTGCTCCACAGCCTTTCCTTGTCCCACACATAATGTCATAATCTAGGAATACATACATGCATGTGCCCAGCAATGGGTATGGCTGAAAATTCCGTTGAAGAGTGTTTTCACATTCTGTTTTCTGATTCATCTAGACACGTTACAAGTCGCTTGTTAACTTTTTGACACACTAACGGGTTACATACGCACTCATAGGAATACTTTGGTCCAGCATTGTTGGCCATATGTCTCGCTTCCCTCAAACACTGATGGCCAGCCATGTATGTTCTCTAAGACACTTCCCCTGAGAAACAGTAATGAGTGTGTGGCTTTTTGTCGTGCTGCCGTGACCTGTTAGATACATACCCATTTGTTCTAAGGGAAAGTAACCAAAAATAACAAAAATCTAATGGAAATGTTGCTGATTCTCTTGTCTCTTCTGACAGAGGGAGAAGAGCCAGATGTCCTGCTATTCACTTCCAAACCAGGACACACACCCAGCCATCTAGAGAATGCTGGTGTCCCTGCTGGTCCTATGGGGCATCCAGTCCTATAAATTGTCACTGAAGCAATCCCTGTGGAGACTACTGACTATCCAAGTTGTCTAACTCTGGAACAAAGCTTCATCAGCGCTGACCCCAGACATTTGGGGTTTGTTTCTGACTCCCCCACTTACCTTCACCAGTCTACAAAGAGATTGATGAACCCATTAAAAGCAAAAGAGAAGACTGTAAGAAAAATATTTACCTAATTTAACAGAAAGACTCCCTCAATCTGTATTCACAGTACAGCCATCCCACTGTGATAACTTCTCATTTCTAACCACTTTTATCTCTCTTAGGGCAGCTCTGACCGGAATTCCATTTGGAAAAGCAAACTTGTTCAAAACACTATTCATATTTTAATGAAGTTTCCTTTAATTTAAAATAGGCTATCTATCAGAAAAGCATACTCAAAAACTGAAAGGACTGCCCGAAGTTATTACGGGTTAGTAAAACTTTATAGTTTCAAACACTTTAATCCTCAAATGCTGGTTTCACGAGCGCAGACCTCAAGCTCTTTCCATGTAAACTCTTTGGCTTCAAGGGCTTCAGTTTTATATTCTCCCACACAAAATAAATTCATATTGGAGAGAAGAAACAAGAAGTATTTATTTTTCTAAGCTGTGGCTCCCCTGAAGAAAATCTTGAAGTCACAGATTCAAATGCCTGTTGCTCAAATCTTAAATTCTCAACTCTTTCTGGCTTAATTCAACCTTCAGCCTTCCAGTAATCCAAACACTCTCGGGAATAGTTATAAAAATTCTTTAGCCATCAGTCTAGTGTGTGTGGCTGCCTGTCTGTGTGTCTGTGTGCACTTCTCGAAAATACGCTACAGAAAATAACTCCACTGAGATGCTTCCTACTCCATTCTACCAAGGTCGGAGGGAAAAGGAAGGATGGGGAAGAAGAATGAAAAGACGTGAGAGGGAAACAGAAGAAGACAAAGCTGCAGACGCTCTTTTGCTCAGAGCTGCACATGCACAGAACACTGCCTTATCTTCTTGGCAAGCGTCTTGCCGTAACGGAGCATGGAGATGACAGACGTGTAAGACAGATCATCTGCAGCAGTGCGGCTCTTAGCACGCCAGGACAGACAGCATCATTGTAGCTGAGGGTGTCCTTCTCCAGCCTTCAGCTGTGGCTGCCTCTACCCCTGGCCCTGACTTCACACTTCTCTCTCAGGTTGTGAGTTTTGTTTCTCAAACTCTGTCTGACCCTAAGGACAACCAGAAGAACTTGTCAAGCACACAGATTCCCAGCCTGCCCCTCCCTGGGCCATCATCTAAGAACTACTGAGCTCCACTTTCTAGAGAAGAATCTAAATTTTCTAACTGATGAAAACTCGGGCTTCGGCTTTCTGCCTGTGTGCCAGGCAGTAACCAGCACTTCTGCCAACGAGGCCGCACTGCACAGGCATCCAGGCAGCCATGCTGATAAAGCGTACGGAGGGCTTAAAAGATAAGGTTCGAAGAGAGCTACTGGAAGCTGATTTGGAAAACACAAAGCTAAATTCCAGTAAGGTGAAGGAGGAGGCAGACGGGGAAAGCGGGGGCCATAAAAAAAATAAATAAAGTTTGTGTGGACTCAAATATTCAAGTAAAGCACTACAAAAGCAAGAGTAAAATACAGCACAAACCACAGGGCTGTGTCCCTCAACACCATCTGAGGTCTGTATACTTCCCAGACCTTCACGTCACCGTGAGGGTTGGATTTAATAATCATCTCGTACATGGCACGGGCCCAGAAATACACACGCATACTTTTAGTCTCTTTAATAATGAGAGCTGGGAATGACGAAGGCTTGAAAACAAACAACCCTCTCTCTTACAACATGCAGGGACCAGAAGGCTACAGCCCACCAGAGTAGCAAACAATTGCCTCCCCAAATCCCTCCTGCTGCTTAATTTTACTAGCTACAAAATATAGTGATGCTTAATCTCTGAATTAAACCATTTTAAAAGAACAGAAATATATATACACATATATGTGTATATTCTATTATATATCAAGAAGGGGTGGGGAGGAGGTAGGATGTTGGGCCAAGAGCTGATTCATCAGCTTTGTGCTTAAATAATAACAGCAATCAAGTTGGCTGAACAGTACAGTCCCCTGAGGCCCACTCTTGACTCTTTCTCTCTTCCTTAGTCTCTTCTGGAACGTTTTCCTTGTTGTGTAGCATACAGTCAAAGCACTTCATAAATAATAATAAAGAAAAGGAACATGACGTGTGTGAGACCTGAGCCTGCAGGGGCCAAGCCTTAGGCACAAGTCCAGAGGTTAACATCAACCAGGTGCAAACTAACCCAAATACTTGACACTGTCTCATCCCCAAAGCATAATACATCATCAGGATGTGGGGTGCTGATGAGCACCCCAAAGAGCCGAGCCTGTTGGTGATGGAAGCCATTCTGAAAACACGACATGATTCTGCTCAGTTCCTAAGTCTCTAAAGTCCAAACCACATTTTGAACAATAATATTAATAATAAAAATTCATCCATTTTTCCCCCCCAAGAAAATGGGCGAGGTGGGGAGGTGAAGCTCACCACAGATATAAGAACAAACCATCCAAAATCATCCCAAACTGCCCTAACATTCATATTTCCTCAGGGTTTTTCTTTGCAGACTGGTTAAATTTCATTTTTAGTAAGCCAGAAATGAAATAAATTTCATAACGCCTGACAATAGGGAACAGGACTCCAAGGTATGCTCAATCTTCAATTTTATTTTATTTTATTTTATTTTATTTTATTTTATTTTATTTATTAACAGTCAAATAAGTAGATAAGTTCTTGCTATTGCATAGCAAGAACAAAATGGCTGGACATGTGACAAGAGGGCTCAATTAATTAGGAGCATCTTTTTTAGCATCAAACATATACATGTCTTACAAGAAGACTTGGAACTAAGCGTGTCTGATTATGACAGTTCAACACTAACGCTCCCCCTTCCTTGCCACCATGAGATAAATAAAAAGGTGGAAGACTGAAGTTTCCATAGGTAGGCATGCATGTTTGGCTAAAAACACTGAGACACACACTCACACACAAAGACACAAAGCACTCTGCAATATTAATTCTATTCCATGAGAGGAGAACACAAAATGAGACTGAGGGAAATCTAGACTAAAACGAGAAAGGAAATTGGGACCCTGTGCAGTGTAAAAATGTCATTTAGCGAAAAGTCACAGGAGATGGAGCAAAAAGACAAACTGAACAGCAGCAACAAGAGAAAGGCCAGACTGTATGACAGGGCTCAGCTTGCAGGAATGTTATGATGGCATTTATATTACCCCCTGATGTCTACAGACATCTGTATTCTTCATTAAATATACACAGTAGGATTGCTGGAACTACAGTGTATTAAAAAAAAAAAAAGAAAGAAAGAAAATCTTAAACACAGACTAGAAAGTTATATTTGAGAATACCACAGGATCCCGGGCATAGAAACCCCTGGTAGGGGTAAGTAAATGGGTGTTTTCCTCTCACCTCTGACCATCTATCTACAAGTAGGCAGTTCTCCTATGGCATAAAGCAGGGGGAATGTCCAGTCTAAAATGCAGTGGGTCTAATCCTGTCAGGTAGATGAAGAAGGTTCATTCAAGTAAGAAGTCTAGGGTTCATTCGCATGGAAGAGAGGAACAGTAAATCTAGACAGTGATAACAAAAGAACTTTAAAGTCCAGACAGTGAGAACACAGGCTACAGTCTCATGCAGAACTGCCATTCTCCATGGCTACTGATCTGACAGACATCCTTGAGATTACAGAGAAAATCCATTACGGTAACATTTTTTATAACACTATTATTTAAACATATTTTTCTGCTGCTGCAAAGCCACCTATTTATTTCAATCGCGAAAACCTTCCCCAAATATGGCCATCTGACAAGTATTTAAGGACAAACGTGATTAGAAGACAGGCTTACTTCTCCAGCAAGTCCATAATATCACTTTTCAAGCATGCCTGCTCCCCTTCCCAAATTACCTTTCTTGGATTTGGCTCCAATCTTTAACTTGGACGGCCATGCAATCTGCGTGTTTGTTTCTTCCATGATCTGAGTCAGAAATCAAGAGAAAAATATTGACTTAATTAAGAACTTGTATTTATGGATAAGATTTTCACACATAAAAATTCTTATATGTTTCTAGATTTGTGTTGATACAACAAAATGATCTCAGCTTAAAACAATGCAAACTTTTTTTTTTTTTTAAAGCTTCAGGGAGGAAAAGAGATGTGTTTTTCTAAGCCCTTAATCTATTGAGAGTATCCAAGTCTGTGTTGTTCTCTTCCAGATTCCAGAATTTTAACAGAAACAAGACCTAAAAGTACATGGACAAATAATTAACCCAGCATGTTGCCAGGACCATCAGAGATGCTTGTACTGAGCAAAATTCACCCAAGACCATTGTCAATACACCAGACATGGCTCTTGTAATACAAAACTACAAGTTAGGTCATATTAAATGAAGATTTCCTCCCATTCCCAATAAATAAAACACCTCCCTCTCTCTCTCTGTATGCATATTTGTATTTCATTAAAAGTGATGAAATGTTTCTCTTCATAAAGTTACATTTCCCATCATCCTTCAGGTGGGCCAAGAGTGTGTTTACAATGTAGTTCTTCCCACTCACACATGCAGGTAATACCAGCAGGAGGAATAGAAGCAAAGGGAGCCTAACACACAGAGTGAGGGAGGACAGACAGCAGACTTTGGAAGTAAGGGAGGCGATGATGAGATGATGAGGCAGACAGTGAGGGAAATGTGTTGGGCATGGACAGCAGCACAAATGAAGCCAACAAGTAATCCAAAAGGTCACTTGGAATCAGAGTCTCCAAGACATCCCTCCTTCCTTGTCAATTCCACAGGCCAGTTCAATTTGTTTCCTTGGTTGGTTTTGGTTTTTCAAGGCAGGGTTTCTCTGTGTAGCCTTGACTATCCTGGACTTGCTTAGTAGACCAGGCTGGCCTTGAACTCACAGAGATCTGTCTGCCTCTGCCTCCCTGAGTGTTGGGATTACTGGCCGAAACCACTGCACCCACCTGGCTGTTTACTTTGTGGCATGAACAGAGAATGGAACAAAATAAGAACAAGCAATGTCTAGAACTAGCAGCAACCATCAGTCATTAATCTCTCAAAACAGGATAAAACTTATTTTTAACACGGATTTAGAGATGACTAATCAACGGGAAGACAACTGAATGCATTAAGAACACAAATGACAGTAACATTTCCTTCTCAGGCCTGTGTACCACACATGAGAGTAAATGGTTCATACAGGCTACCCACAGCTGAGTCTACCTGTTCAAGCATCTGACAGCTCTCAGCAGCTACGCGTGGGTAACTGGCAGCCTACCCATGCATTCTGTCTGTCCACTGTTCGGGGATGTTAGGAGTTGGGCTAACATGTGAAGATCCAAGAATCCAACATAGCAACTCAGATCTGATTTTTCTAGAAAAGTTGGTGGATTCGGCACAAAGAATTCATGGCAGCATTTGGCTGGCACAGGGGACAGTCGCCTGCTGTGGACAGGGCCAGTGGGCTCTCAGCTGCTCCAGGGCCCCACTGTGTCCCTGATGTGGAGGTCAAAAGTCACTTGTACGTTGCCGCCCAACTTGTTTGTAGTGCTCACTGGTCACTTGGCCCAGTGTCTTAACACTGCTGTTTTTCTTGGAAAATATTTCTACTTGAAAGCACCAAAACAAAAACAGATCTCTCACTGTCTCTGCTTGGTCTGTATGCTAATCTGACCAAGAAGAAAAGCAAGAGCCTCTTACCCTCAAACTTCTAAGACCTACCTGCCTCACCTTTGCTAATTAATCAAGTTGTCATCAACATTAATTTGGTTAGTTAACTCTATGTTACTGTTTTTTGGTTTTCTTTGTGTGTTGTAGGGTTTTGGTTTTTGGAGGGAGTTATTTGCTTGTTGTTTTCCAGACAGGATCTCACCTACACTGGATTCAAATCTATAGCCTTCTTGCCTCAGCCTCCCAAATTCTGAGATTACAGAGAGTAGCAACCAAGCCCAACTCTTCAGGAGTATTAAAACAAACAAACAAAAACTAAAAAGGAAGTATTGCTCAGTAGTTAAGAGCATTTGCTAGCCAGACACAGTGGCGCACACCTATGATCCCAGCATTCCTGAAGGCAGAGGCAGGCAGATATCTGTGAGTTCGAGACCAGCCTGGTCTACAAAGCAAGTTCCGGACAGCCAAGGCTACACAGAGAAACCCTGTCTTGAAATCGATGCACACACACCCCCCTCCCAAGAAAAAGAGCACTTGCTGCTTCTGCAGAGGTCCTGAGTTCTATCCCCAGAACCCACATGGCGGCTCACAGCCATCTACAACTCCAGTTGCAGGAGATCTGACACCCTCTTCTGGGCTCTGTAGGTGCCGCACATACATGGTACACACACATACACACACACAACAGAAAGCAAATATTTCCGTCTTTTTAAAAGCTATCCCTTAATTAAATAAATTGTAATAAAATTGTAATAAAATTGTAATAAAAATAAAATTTTAAACAAAACAAAACAAAAATTATCTCTTTTGTTTTTTCTTCTTTTTTTAAAATTCTTTATTAATTATACTTTATTCACTTTGTATCCCCCCTGTGGTCCCCTCCCTCCTCCCATCCCAATCCCTCCCTTCCTCCACCCTCTGCATGCATGCCCCTCCCCAAGTCCACTGATAGGAGAGGTCTTCTTTTCCTTCCTTCTGATGCTAGTCAATTAGGTCTCATCAGGAGTGGCTGCATTGTCTTCTTCTGTGGCCTGGTAATGCTGCTTCCCCCTCAGGTTTCCCCCTTCCCTCTTTTTTCTCCAAACCCTCCCATATACCCCTCCTTCCTCTCTTTCACATTCATGGCCTTTTTTTTTCACTAATTGTTCCTTATATACTTAGCCATATATGAATGGAATACATGTATTCACTTTTTAAATTGAATGAATAAATAAGTACTATCCTCTTTAACTGCCTCTTCTCTTTGGCTGCCCAGTAGACGTTCCCTCCCTGCTTCACCACTTCAGGACCTGCGAGTCTACTGGTCTCTCTCACAAACCGTTCCATTCCAGGCTCCTTCTCAAACTCAGTCTTCAGCCATCACCTGCTCAAGCTATCGTTCTTCCCATCCTGACATTACCCAGCTAGAATCACTCATGCTCCTTGCTATCCTCGCCTTCTTCCTTATCCTTATGCCAAGCAAAATGTCCTCTTGCCTTCTGTATTTAAAGAGTTCACAGTCTGAAAAATAAAAATTGTGCTCACCGCCCTGCACACAGTAAGCGTCAGGTGTGTTTGGCCAAATGACGCTGCTAATGTCCTTATCTAGTTATCAACATGGAGTCCGGTACCATTCTCAGGCAATTTCTAGTGTGCCATGTGGAGCAAATTATGTGACCGTTCTCAGCCTTATTTACCATCTCTGTAAAATTATTTGTTAACATCTACTGTTAGAGCAGTCGCAAGGACTTGAGAAGATGGGCAGAACTCTGACCCAGAAGAATGCTCACTGATGCTGGGAGCTAGAAGGAAATGAACTGGCTAGCTGAGAAGGGGTGCGGAAACGGTCCCTCCCAGAGGAGGAGTGCATCGAGAAGTTCAAACAGACACATGGAAGAGCATCAGCCAGCACATGTGAGAGGCTTTGAGTCTCAGCTTGTGCTACCAGGAAGGCTTGGGTCTCTTGGCATCTGCATGTATGGATAAGGCCCAAAGAGACTTGAAGACGTGACATGAACCAAGACCATCAGGCTCCTGTGACTGGCTGTGATTTGCTATTGACAAATGCCAACCAGGTGAAGCTACTGCAGGATGGAGTGACTTACTTCTGGGGAGTCAGAAGCTTCCCCCAGGAGCTTCTCAGGTAAGTTGACAACTCATGTCAGTCTCTTCAGGGATGGCAGGGACAATGCTTTAAGGCTCTCAACCTGTGGGGCGCGGCCCTCAAAAGATCATCAGAAAACAGGGGTATTTACATCTTGATTCGTAACAGTAGCAAAATCACAGTTATGAAGTAGCAAGGAAAATCATTTTATGGTTTGGGGGTCACCACAACTTAAGTATCTGTATTAAAGGGTCAAAGCATTAGGGAGGTTGAGAACCACTGCTTGAAGGGAGTTTGTCACTAGAGTGGGAAGCAAAAAAGCGAGGAGAGGGGAGGGCGAAGGGAGGCTCGGGAAGTCCAGTCCCTAAGCATGATGCACAGAAGAAGAGCCCACGGAGACGGAGACGGGGTTGACGGCAGGACAGGAAGCAGCTCAAAGGAGACACACGCAGCAAGCTACACAAAGAGGTGTCCTCAATGGACCAAAGGGGGACTGGAAAAGCTGAAGTCAGGAAGACGATAAAATGACAGACGCTATAAAGACCCCAAGAACAAAATGACCATCTCAGTCTCGGGAGGAAAAAGAAAACATCTGAAGTGACTTCCAGAAAATGGCTCTAGGCTTGGTCTGGTTTTATTCTTTTTTTTTTTTTTTTTTTTTTTGTGACTTCTGCTGTGCCTGTCTCTGCATGCCACACAACCAAAGCTCCGAGGACAAACTGCTGACTCCAACTCACCTACCATAATAGTTTTTTAAAAACATTTTTTTAAAAAATTATGAGACTAAGGAAGAGAGTTCTGTGGCTTTACAGTGGGTGGAGGCATTGGCTTCTTTTTAAAAGGGTCTCGTGTGTTTCCCAAAGTCATTTACTTATTACAGACTTGACCAGGAAATTGCTTCCCAGAAACCTGCTGAGAGCCTCAGTTCACACGTAAGTCAATACTCTGTTCAAAATGTCCAGTTTCCATCCAAGGGCTTAATTGGATTAAGTAACTAATTCTGACCATCTCTCTCCCAAAAGATGTTGGTGTCCTTGGCTGTGTGAAATCTGACCTCAAAGTTGGGAAATGGCCTAAAATGCCTTTTACTTCCTTATGGAAATAAAACTATAAATACTATTGTGTCAGCTAAGCTACAGAATGCGGAGGCGTGCCAGGCCACAAAACCCTGCAGGAGGAAAAGTCGGCTCTCTGTCTTGAAGAAAGAAAAAACAAAACAAAACA